ATATTGATATTTATAGTGAAGTTATATTTATATATTATTATATTTATATTGATATATATATCTATTTACTTATAAATATATATTTATAGTTATTTATATATTTAATTGTGTATTGATATTTATATTTTTCATTTTTTTGTCATTTTTTAAATTCTCATTTAATCAAATGTATGATTTTTTTAATAAGTTTGGTTGCTGTTATATCTTTATCTAATATAAAAGTTATTAATTGAATATTTTTATATTCTTTTTTTTATTCTTTAAAATTTTTTCTTTTCTTCATGAAAAGGAAGTTGATGTGTTTCCATTATTTTTTGTATACAAATATGAGACGAGGTACGCGAGGTGCATTTTCTTCTGGACAGCAGGTTGATCCAAAGGGAGAACCACAAAGGCTACTTCATCGTCTTATTCGGGGGCCTCGTAGGGCTGTTCCTACATAGTAGCAGCTGCCCAGCTTGAGCCAGCCTTCCGAACAACATCAACTTTCCAGTTTGACTCAGCTTCCCACACAACTGCAGCAAGAGCAACCCACTGTTACTTAGCCACCATTGGACGATGACCAGTACACTGGTGATGATGCAACAATGGAGAAAGACACTGAAGAGCATAATTTGGAGGTTGAGTTGGATGCTAAGTTTGTTGTGCTTGATCCTAAGTTAAATGCTCAGCTAGAAGAAGAGCTATCACGTGCTATCCCGAAGACAAGACGTGGCATGGATAAAGGAGATGACACTCCTGCAGACCCGAGTCAAAGAAAGGTGCTTAGCCTTAATCGCCGAGGCACATTCAACTATGAGAGGTTTGGGAGGACTGCCATAGTAATTTGGAAGTACTTGTATGATGAGCCAATGCTCTTTTGGTCTAGCTGGCCTAAGGAAAAGAAAAGGCTTGCTTGGGAGAATTTCCAGGTATGAAAATTATAGAATAAAATGAAGTATTTTTTGAGAATTTATTTAGATGTTATCATTTTATTTTATGGCATTTAATATGGAAGTACAAGGTATATTTTATATGATTTTTTATATTTTATTTATTAATAGTGAAAAAAATGATAATTTAACCAAAACTTTGCTCTTTTTTTAAGAAAAATCAAATGAATTATTAACATTTAATTTTTTTTTCATTGCAGAGGACATATTATTGGGAAGAAGATGATGCTCATGTGTATAAAATTTGGAGATTACATTGTCTGAACAGTTTCCGAGACAAGCTTCATCAAGCTCGAAAGGTGTGGGTCAAGCACAAGAAGTTGCCCGAGTTCATGCATAAGGATACCTTTAAAATTTTATTAGCAAAATGGAGGAGTCCAAAATATATTGCACTTCAAGAAAGAGGTCGGCAAAACCAAGCAAAGGGTGACCGTGTGACCCACACAACTGGATGCCTTTCTATTGGGATCCATGAGCATCGACTGGTTAGTAAGATATACTTATATATATATGCATATATAACTTATTTTTGTTTACCATAAAAATGGAAATGTTATTGATTTTATTGATGTTTTAATAGGCAGCTAAAAAATGAGAGTTAGGCCGACACCTTTAGAGTTGTACTTGTTGACTCACACGACTCGTCGACCTGATGCTCCAGAAGATGCCCCACCCACTTGGATATGTCCACAGGCTGAGCAGACATATATAAGAATCTGATTCTTTTATGATATTAATTTTATTTATTTTTAATGTCATATTGCCCTAAAAGAAGAAAAGTGATATAATTTTTTATCCATTGTACTTAGGAAATGATTATTTTTCATTTGATTTCCCATTATCATTTGAAATTGCTAACTAATGAAAATTTTATTTTTGAAACAGAACGATGCTCACAAAAAATATGTGGAGAAGCATGGGCCAAACAAGGATTCGTGACCAGAATGGGATCCACTTATTTGGAAGGAGGTGGTTGGACCTCCTAAAAAGGGTTAGATGAGAGGGATGTCTACATTATAGGATCCAGCAGGGCATGGCATCCTTTGGTGACAGTATGACATGAGTGAGGCCTCCTCTTCTACCACCAGGATTCTTACGACACAGGTCCAACAGTTGCAGTGTGAGCTTACTCAAGTTTAGGAAGAAATGGCTGAGCGAGTTCAGACAGAGGTGGCCGCACGTATTCATACAGAGGAATCACAAAGAGTATTAGAGATAGAGGCCAGCTTTGAGAGGAGATTCCAAGAGCACATGCGCTTACTTAGCCAGTAATATTCTATGAATGCTACACAACCCCAAATTGGTTATCCTTCTTCTGTACCACCCCAGATTGCTGATCCTTCTTTTGGAGGATTTAGACCTGATCACTTACCACCTCTTACTTAGAGACATTGATATTTAAAACTTATATTATATATGTTTATATATATGTACTGCATATGTAAATATATGGCGTGTAGGATGAGAAGTTAGTATATATTTATTAACTTAAACTAGTTTTTAGTTATGTAGTATTTGAGTTTAAATAAGTAAAATATATAATATTAATAAAATTTAACAATCCTATAGTAAAAAGAAAAAAATTACAATATAATATTTCGCAAAGAAATAGCATATATATATCTTTATCTAAACTAGAATTTTTATAATTAATTATTAGCTCAAAAAAATTGATTTTTATTACTTTTAAAACCAAAAATTTTACAAGAGAATTAATAAAAAAAAATTCAAAAAAAAAACCAAAAAATAATTCAACAAAAAATAAATAATTAGATAAATCAAATTGTCAATTAGTTTAAAGAGATAGTATATTTGTTTAAATATAAGGATAAAAAAATAAAAATAATAAATTTTAAAAAAAATTGTGACTATATTCGACAGCCATAACGTCGCCCCTCGCCTTCCCAGCAAAAAAAAAAAGAATTTCCCAGCAAAAAATTTTGATTCTCTCGGCCAAAAAAAAATTAAAAAAGAAAAAACAAAAACTATGACTATGTTCGACAGCCGATATGGCTGTCGAATATAACGCCGCCGAGTGCCTTCCCAGTAAAAAAATTGAATTTCCAAGCTACTTAAATTTTAAACATATTCGACAGAATTTATGTTGGATATGTTTGAAATATAAATACCACTCCAATATCAGAACATCTCATTGTCTTTTAATTTTCACCTTTTTGCCTCTTCCCTTCTCCTTCACCTTCTCTTTTTTTCCGCAGGTAACATCTCTCTCTTTGAGCTTTTTCTCCTTTTATTTTCTTTTTTCTTTCTTCTTTTACATTCTCCTCTTTATATTTTCATAAATTACCTTTAATTTTGACAATGCATCATCTTCTTTCTTTTTATTCTTCTCTCTTTTTTGTTGAATTGTTATTATTTAATATACTAATAGTTCTTTTTTTTCTTTTTCATGTTTTTATACATTGTGTAATACCCCAAAATTTTTAGAGGATTAAAGTAAATTGGGGACCTAATTGTGAAGAAATATCATTAATGAATGTAATAGCAAAAGTTTTCAAAGTTCAGGGGCTAAAAAGAAAGGAAATTAGGATAAGGATGAAGGCTGATATTTCTCTCCTCAGCCACGTGTTTTGCTCTTCCTTATCTTCTCCTCCTTCCCGATTCTTCCTCCCAACAAGCCCCCAAGCTGCCGACAGTCCTCTCTTGAGGAATCGGCAAAAGCTTGCTATTTTTCTCTTCTTTTCTTGTCAAAGAACTGATTTTGGGACCTAGAACCCTCCCTTTGAAGTAGAAATTTCCAGATCTGCTCTCCCTTCCTCTTCCCTTCGGTCTGTGAGTTTCTACTGGTTGGGGGTGCGATTTTCTAGGCATTTTTGGGTAAGCCACAGCCAAGAAATCATCTCTTTAACCTTGATTTAGGCTAGGTTATGCTAATTTCTGTTTATTTCCCTAAATTTT